GAAGCCGCAGGGCTCGTCAAGAACAACAAGTTGAGACACAATATTTCAGTAGAAGCCATAAATAACCCCTGAGGAAAGAATCTGTTGGGCTCCACACGGCTTACGCAGGATCTAAAAACGAATATCTCTGCGACGGGGTTCTCCTCTACATAAGGGGCAGCCATTTCCGGCTTCTATCTACTTTCCTTTGCTGATTCACTCCCATCATATAATCGCTTCTAACCTACACATTTGCCCTTCCATATATTATTTACTATCCGCACGTTTACAAAGTCTTTTCTTAATAGGGGAAGCGAAGAGTGTCGAGGAGCACTTCCGCCCTTAGGAACTACGGTGTGTTCGCCTATCTTGATATCTTACTGCATAGTTAACATCTTATTGCCTCAAAGCCGCCGGGAAGTTGACCCTGTCTCCCAACTCGTAGTAACTTTTGGTTCAGTAGGTGACAGAAATTTCATCTTTATATTTGTGAATGGTGTTTTTGCGTCTGGACGTGGTCTTGGCCTTGGGCCAGAAAATAGGGTTCAGTAATCTTATTGGACATGGTTCGTCGGGAGGAAAATCCCACGCTACTCCTTGTATTGTTACCTCGACGTTGTTTTTTTCCAAGATAGATTCTTCATCTTCATTTTTCTGCTGGCCAGGTCGGCTGAGGCGATTTGAAATGTTCTCTATAAACACCGAATCGACTTCAATTCCTCGCTTGCGTCGGAATACCGTAGAATTTATTGGCCCATGTTGTACAAGGACCCATCTGTTCCTAAAATTACCTTTTGTCCAGCCAAAAAGTTTAGCATTCTCATCAACATCTTTTTGAGCAGTCCGTGATAGCATCTCCAATTGCTGAGCTGAAGTCATGATGTCTGCCGGGATTTCCCTATTCTCAACCCAGGACAGGAAGCTCTAATCAACCGGCTCAGTATCTTGCTCGGAATCCTGCTCAGCATCTTGCTTGGCATCTTCCTCGGCATCCTTCTTGACACCCTTCTCGGCATTCGGAAAGCGGGGGCTTAATTCCATGGAGCTTCTTCTTGGCAGGTTTGGTCACTTTGGTCTGTTTTCCTGTCATTTTGTGTGTATGTGTGTGTTTGTGTGTGTGAGAGAGAGATGTAAACTAGAAGCCCTGAGAGATATTGTCCTTGTACTTATAGGTGTTGCGGATGTAAGTTCTAGAAAGTGAAGCCATTTCTGGCTACAGTATGATCTACTCAACATCTAGCTCAGATAACGCGAATATCATATAAGCTGCTTCAAGCGCTTATTGATATACGCTCTACGCCAAATACCGCTGTCATCTGTCTCATCTCAAAGACAAATCTCGCTACATAGATGCAGAACTGTATCTTTAAACATATGTAGGTCGCAATGTAGTCTCCTCCCGGTACCTATCATTTGCCTAAGATATAGCTATGGAAGAGCATACCTATGTTCTGCTCTCCATTGCCGACATCAAATTCCTGATGTTTGTACCCAACGAAGATTCGAACGGCGTGCCTGGTAGAAGATACTTTATCACTTCAACTCAAGCTGGCCACAGGGTGACTCTAGCCGTCATACCGAGTACTTATCCACATTTTCACCCCTACCGTCCACGGTGAGCTCGATTCCGTGCGGAGGTTTGATTCCTTAGTATCGAGGTCGTTCAGGTGGCTGCATGGGCTGGTGAGGTCTTCCGCATACTGAGCGGACAATAACTACACCTGCGGGATTCGTCCTCGGCAGCCTTAAAAGCATCCGGTGCTCAACGCCCAAATAGTAAATGAGAAAAACACAAAGACGGACATAACAAAGTTGACAAAAAGCAAAGGCTAAAAATCCTGTATTGTTAGGCTTTATATCTGCTAGCCATCATCCACGATGGTATTTTTTTTTTGATGTATACACAGGTACAAAAGGTATGAATAGGACATTTTTCTTTTTCAGGACCTTATTACCAGACTAAACTCTGGATCGCGCATTTAGGCTTGGGAATATTCAGGATAGGAACGTCCTGCGTAGCGCTGCTTCTACGATCTATCGCCTGAGGCTTATTGAAGGGCTGCTGCCCAGAACAGATGGCTCCTCGCTGGGAGGAGATGGCTTGGGGAACTGGGTAACGCCGAGTTTGCCGTGCTTTAATGGGTGACTACCTAGCGGCGATGCTACCAGCGACGATATGACCGCGGTAGCGCCCAAGGACCTAATTACAGATCGAGATGCTAGGCAGACTCAGAAGGGAAACCATCTGCCAGCAGCCTCCCCGCGCTCGAGCTTTTCGAACTCCTCCACGTTATCGAGGCCGCGCGACACAGCGCGAGACATTTTCTCAAGCCACACCTTCTTCTATTTACGGTTGAATCTTGGCGTTGGCTGCTTCAGCCAGTTCTTTCGCCTTCTCTAGCTCTGCCTCCACCGCGTCGTTTTGCAAGATAATCTGGTTGAGTTGCTGGGTGGAGACAGTTAGGTTGGCTCCGAGTTACAAAACAACGAAGAGAATTGGAAGGAGACCTGTTGCGAAAAGTAAGAAGAACGGGAGGAACTTGCAAGTTGGAAAGAAGGAGAAAAACTACGCCGTCTCACGAATTAACGCAGAAGAATACGACTGATTTTTGTTACCAAGACTACGTGGCCGGAAAAATGGTGGATTCGGGAGTGAACATGCAAAATATAAATCTTCAAACAACCACATTTATAGTGCATGAGTGTAATAAATTTACATAAATCAAACCTTGGTACACAAAAGTATTTACATTATAATATCTGTAATAATAGAGATTATACGCGCTTAGTTGTTGATGGATTTGTACTTTTTTATGCAAAATGCTGGACTTTTTAACATCTATTGCAAAATCTGAATCTAGACATGGACAATTTCCATTTCCGTTCTTGGACCTGAGCACTCGCCGCTTTAACCTGAGCAGAAGTGGAGAAGCCCTGAGTAGGGATGAGTAAAACCCTGAGTAGGGTGAGCAAGGCCTGAGCAGGGTGAGTAAAGCCATGAGCAGGGTGAGCAAACTCTGAGCACGGTGAGCAAAGCCCTGAGCACGGTGAGCAATAGTTGAATCCACCTGAGACCAGGCTATACTAGAGGTAGACTATGGCAGAGCTATTTCTGGAGCGCACACCTATTCCACGGTAATTATTGTTAGTGCTGCAGGAAGGCTTTTGGTGGAAGTTACTAGAAAATAACCCTGGCTGCATTAACAACTATTCCGCTTAGGGTAGGTATAAAAGTTATGACAGAGAACCAATGTCTGTGTTAGAGTCAGAAACAGCTCATGCAGCGTAGCATCCACGCCAGGAACAGTTTCTGCGTTAGTCCAAATCAGACAAGTCGTTTCCCTCCAAATATCGTTCCTGTATCTGGGATCACCGAAAACTTGGATTGTTCTTAACTTGATCGAGTACTGTATGGAAGCTCATATTTTCACGCTAGTCATACATACCTGCCTAACGGAGCCGCTAACTAACTTATCGAATGCTCCCTTTCTGGTGGGTCTGTTTGGCTCCAAGAGCCATTTCTGGAGTGCAGCTATTCGGTTTGACAGGTATTATGACGAGGATCTGCTGCCTTTGTAGAGTTAGAAACAGCTTCTATATACAAATCATTTAGCCTAAGGCAGCGTTAGGATTATGATATGAAATCCCAGCCTCTGCAAAAGCCAGAAACGGCTTGTTTCGTTTTGCCTGTGTAGGCAGCGATGGTCTGCCTTTCCTGGAGCTAGAAACAGCTTCTACGTTTGACTTAGGCAACAAGGCATAGGGAATCGCTGCCTCTATCGAAGCCATAAATAGCTTCTAATAGCAATACACAACAAGTCTGTAGGCGATTATGGATACAACCACGCTTCCGGATTCTTAAGACTATTTCCCTCGTTGATTCTCTTCTTCTTTTGAATCATCATCCGTTGCAATATGAGGGTGTCAAGGAGTGTGACGAACCCTTGATCAGAACCTCTGAGAGGGATACTGGGTTAATGTCACGACCTGACACTGGGAGTGGAGCGCAGGAAGCCTCGTCCAATCATTGAGAGTCAGGAACCAACCAATAAGAGATTGATCATGGACCTGGAGGAATAATTAATAATCAGGATCACTGATCATTAAGAATGATCCATGATCAGGGGCTTAGCATGGTCTATATATACGGAGGAACTAGATAGCTCATAGATAGTTCCACAATATGCAATACAAATACTGTACAAGTGTTAATCAGGCATTGTGATTACATTGAGACAAGTCTATTATTGTGCACCTTTTGGCTGCACCGAACCACCCATCTAGAAGCTACTTTCAGCTGTGTATCCCTTTCAGAGGTTCTGGATAGCGGTTCGTCACAGTTGATATCACACGTAACCACCAAAAGGCCTTGGCCACGACCAACAGCACAGTAAACTGCAAGTCCTGGACCAGTCGTTGGGAAGTAAAGCGAGCAAATAAGCCACAGGCGGCATGGGCAGACGTATTATTGGTTCAACCTCTCGGCGGTCTGGATAGGCAGAAAAGGGAATCGTGCTAGATACGGTTCTTTCGAGCTTGGCGCTTTCCTTTCTCTTGGTGGACTTCTTCCATTGGACGAACCCCTCTACAGAACCTCTGAAAGGGATACTCGGTCGAAGGCTACTTCTGATAATTAGTTCGGTGCAGTTAAATAGTGCATAAAAGATATCTCAATATAAACACAAGGATACCGTGAATACAAGCTGTGATTGCATACTGCGGAACTATCTACAAGCTATCTAGTTCCTCCGTATATATGGACCTTAGTCTTCCCGGATCATTGCCAAGCCTCCATAATCCTATATCCAGATCGCTGGATCATTGCAATAATCCCATAATCCATTTCCTGGATCGTTGGATTATCTCTATAATCTAATGATCCATTCCTCATTAGTCCGTTCTTTTGATCCCTCTGATTAGTCACTCACCGTCCCGAGCCCCGCAGAACTGTGGGTTGTGACATTACCTCGCTAGTCAAGAAGCAGCGCCATCAACTGGTACCCGGGGCTAGAATATCTAGTCTAGGCGGAAGCCTCCGGCTCAGCACCAGATATAGTGCGGTTGGGCGCCGTGCGGCTGCGCCGTCCTCTGAGAAGCGACGGCAGGTCCTTGACGAGATGGAATAGCGCGTCTAGGACCACCAAGCCGAACGCGCACAAAGGACCTAAGATAGCGAAGACGGTAAAGCCGTACGAAACCTGCTGGAAGGCGGCATTTTTCTTAAGCCGTTCCGTGGCGAGGCCGACCTGCATCGCGGTCAGCACCAGGGCGATGAAGACGGTGGCAGTAGTTATCCAGGTGAGGTTATCGCGGAAGAAGCTACCGTAGTTGTGCCGACCGCGGAGGTAGGGGTTGAACAGTGGGAGGCTGGTTAAGCGGTGGATGATATTGATACGGGAGAGACGGAGCTCGGCACGCAGGAAGCGAGGGTGGACAACATCTAGTTCGCGCTCATACATTCGGAGGAGCTCTCTGGCCAGGATCTTCCAGTCTGCCCATTCTAGTGGCTTGTCGTCTTCCCTGTAAGGCAAGAGGTGCTTTTCGTTGGCGATATAGAAGTCGCTCTCCGACGATACAAGACAGGCGTACGTGTAGAGAAAGCCGAGGGCGACTCTCCGTGGGATTCCCCGGCACGTATCCGCCGGAGGGTCGTGGCAGGCGCAGGCATCCGGGCATTGTAGGTTGGTGCTGCAAAAAGCTGGATCGAGGAGAAAGCGTGGGACGGGCTTAATGAAGAGCTTCCCCTTGTTATCCCAGAGGAGGTGCAGATCCATCCGGTCGGTGATAGCGATCTCCCGACCTATGGCGACATGAGAGTGCAGCGGCATGGCGGGACGCTTTGCGCCGGCAAACCATAGGTGTTGCATCATATCAGCTAGGTCTCCGAGAGAAAGCTCTCTCCGTAAGAAGGCCGGTATGTCCTTCGCCGGGTTACCGACCGCGCGCCTTCCGGCGGCCTCGTGGTAGTGGTAGGTAGCCGGTAACATATCCGTAGCGGGCTTCTCTTTCTCCTTCTTCCCGAGCACCTCGGTTTCGAGCTATATACGCATATCGTCAGAGGGTATAAACGCTTGAAGGCCAGTAGGGCTGCTAACGCACCGGCCAGAGCAAGTAGTCTGGTGGAACCATGTGGGATGCGGGCGGGAGCGACGGGAGCGACGGGAGCTAGCTAGTCGTCGGGTCGGACGGGTCGGCGCGTCTGTCTGCCTTTAGCAGCCGGTCTCACGGAGGGTACTGCGCGCACGCTGTTAGCTAAACTCGCCGGCCATAACTCCAGGGGAAGCTCAGCTCTATTACTATATCGTGCCTCCACAGTTTCCACGTCTCACGCATTATCTTGACACAATTGGGAGCTTCTCGAGACGCGCGTTCATCACTTGTAAAGGCGATAGACGGTGTTTGATGGTCTGCCGTTTGGTTGGGCTCCGAGCAGATATCCAATTGCGTCGCGACTACTTGGGCGAGACAGCGTTGGCCGCAACCGCCATTGGCGTCTGGCCCCGCAGATCGAAATGATTGGACGTGGACGCTCCCTGGTTTCGAACGTGCTACCCAATGCGGGTTGAGCGAGAATCGCCAACAGTTCAGCTTCTAACACCAGGCATTTGGACCTTTGTCCCCCAGAAGCGATCGGTATTAAACGCTCTTGACTTACTCCACCATACACACCGGCAACGGAGAACCTCCGCTTGGGAGCAGTCCCGCCAACATTCACCGAAGCACAGCATCCGCGGCGCGGGGTCTTGTCCGTACAGGCTCCTCAGCCTGCCTCTGCCTCTGCCTCGACAATGATTTCCGTCAACCTCAGCCAGGGCACCTCTCTGCCCGGATGGACAACTGTCCTTTGTCTCCTGGTCGGCGCAACTGCCGCTTGTCTTTGGTTCCGTTTCCCGCTTACGCGTTCCACGCGGGCATTGTCTTCGGTGAAGCCCACTTCAGATTCCACACGGTCCGCTCGGTCAGGCGTCAGCCTCCGTCAAGTCAACCCTGACAAGAACGAGGCAAACACCGACATCGACATCATTGCCATTCATGGCCTTGACACAAAGTCGCCGGACACGTGGGTATGGGTAGACCCCAACGATCCCAACAATACCGTTAACTGGCTGGCCGACCGGCGAATGCTCCCCAGCCGAGTGGGAGCAGCTCGCATCTTCACATGCGACTGGCCTGCCGACCTACGTCAGCAGTCGTCAGTTCCCACGACGCTCCACGAGTCTGCCCAGTCTTTGCGCGACAGCATACAGCACCTAAAGGCAAATACCACAAGACCCATTCTCTTCATCGCATCGTGTCTTGGTGGTATTATCTTGATAAAGGCTCTCGAGATTGATAATCAGCACACCAAGGACAACGCCGATTCGCCTTCTCTCACAAGGACAACACGAGGCGTCGTGTTTTTGGCTACACCTTTCCGAGGCACTGCGTTCAAAAACATGCCTGGCCTCCTATTGAAAGCCCTGGCCGCCCTGCAAGACCAAACAGTGACTGCACTGATTGATTACACACTGGGCGCGACCCCCGACCTTGACGAACTTACGAAAGGGTTTATAACGCTAACGAAGAACCACAACTACCAAGTAGTCGTGTTCTGGGAAGCGAGGAATACCGTTCTTCTCCGGAAGTTTCATCTGGCTTGGATGGTGTCAACATGGATCTTACTGGCGTGGCTAGTAGCTCTGACATCAGCTTGGCTGCTTGATTTGTTTTCACCTTGGCTACTCGTCTTTTTCCTCCTTTGGTTACCTGTGTTCTTGTCTTGCCAACCACAGCTGGTACGTATCAAAACATTGACTAGTCTAGCTGCCCTACTAATGCCTACTAGCTGGTCAATAAGTACTCGGCAACCCTATCGGATTTTAAGACGCAGCGGCTTGATCGACCCCACGTCATGATGAACAAATTCGCCCACAGCAACTGCACAAATGAGTGCAAGAAGGACTGCACGGAGAGTGATGATTTCGGCCATGTGTCCCGCAAGATCGAGGTAATGCTCAAGACGATTCGTGAAGGAAGTCCACTCGAGCAAGCAGACGGTTGGATTCGCAAAAGACACTATACCCAGGAGAAACTGAAGATTGAGCGACTTTCGGGCGATACGTTGTCCATGGATCGCTGCTACATCAATCTCGCCATTATCGGGGAGCCTAGAGAAAACCCAGAGAAAGGATCGGAAACGGACGCAGTACCTCACAAATCCCCCTTTTCACTCACCGCTCGGCTGAAGGTTGAGACGCCGGAAAAGAATATTCAAGTGGAATTGTCGTCTCTCTTCGATCCGCGCAAAGACTCCGAAGGCCAAACGACAAACCCAAGAAGAATCTTAATCCATGGACGCGCCGGGGTCGGGAAGACTACCCTGTGTAAGAAGATGGTCAATGAATTTACCCGTCGTTCTGGAGAGTTTCGAAAGTGGAACGAGTTGTTCGACCGCATACTTTGGGTGCCTCTACGGAGGCTGAAAGGATGGTCATCTCCGCCATATAAACTCGAGGGATTGTTTTGTTATGAGTATTTTGACCAACACCTAAACTATAGCATTCTTGCTAAAGAACTTTTCCGTACGGTTGACAGTAATGGCCAAAAGACTCTGTTTATCCTTGACGGTCTTGACGAAATATCTCAACTCTTGGACGATAATCACCCGAAATTCTCTTTGCTTAAACACCTGTTAAACCAACCTAGCGTTATTATTACATCCCGACCGCACGTCTCACTCCCTAGGGGAGTCCATTCCCCAGACCTTAAACTGGAAACCGTTGGATTCTACCCGGCTCAAGTGGTCGAATACCTTCGAGCTACATTTATTGATGCGAAAACGGTCGAAGATATTGAATCGTACTTCCAAAGGCATCAGCTAGTCCAGGGTCTTGTACGAATCCCTGTTCAGCTGGATGCTCTCTGCTATACTTGGAATAGTTTCGAGGATAAAACTATGCCGGGGACTATGACCGCGATGTACAAAGCCATCGAGGAAAATCTGTGGAAGAAGGATATTGTGAGACTGGAGAAGCGAACGCAGCGTCAAATACGCGTCGTTCGCCGGCCCGAGATCAGCAACTCTGCCGAAGATGAGGTACAACTTCTTGAGATTCTCGCATTTACTGGCATGCATAGCGATGTTATCGACTTTGAGCCAAGACATCGCGACGCTATTTCCGAGCAGTATAATCCCACTGGGACGAACTTCGTCCTTGATGAGATGCTCGGACACCTTTCTTTTGTACGAACCTCAGACCCCTCATCAAAGGACCGCGATCGAAATTACCACTTCATACACCTCACCTTTCAAGAGTATTTTGCAGCACGGTATTTCATTCGACAGTGGAAAGCTAAACAACAACTCAATTGTCTGCAACTTAGCGGTGGGAATCGTAATTATATCGAACCTGCTACTTTCCTTCAGGAGCATAAATACGATCCTCGCTACGATATCTTCTGGCGCTTTGTCGCCGGCCTACTTGATGCTGACGGAGAGGCACTTGGCTTCTTCCAGACGATTGAGGAGGAGCCACGCGACCTCCTGGGTCCTACGCATCAGCGCCTAGTCATGCACTGCCTAAGCGAAGTCGAGCGGAAGAAGTCGAATTTCACAGGACTTCGAGCGAGGCTAGAAAACCAACTAAAACAGTGGCTGCTGTTTGAATGCGACTTTATGGGGAGTTCCATCTTAGCCCGCGAAATGGAGTGTCCAGAGCAGGTTCTGGTCAGTACATTAAAGCAAGCATCTGAAGGTGCAAGGTCGATTTTTCTGGACTCGCTATCCAGACGAACAGCAGTGCCATCCAGTATTATAAACGTTGCATCTCCCTGGCTGAACGACTGCGCTTCTAAACGCCTATGTATTGCTGTCTTGGGTCTCCTAAGACATCAGCATAATGGCTTACCGCAGGAGATGCTGCAGGGCATCGCAGCGAGGCTCGAGGATCAGGACGCGGACGTACGGGAGGCAGCAATCGACGCGCTTCAAGGGCGAGCCGACCTTCCGAAGGAAATACTGCAGGGCATCGCAGCAAGGCTCGAGGATCAGGCCGCGTACGTGCGGCTGAGAGCAATCAACGCGCTTCAAGGGCGAGCCGACCTTCCGGAGGAGGTGCTGCAGGGCATCGCAGCAAGGCTCGAGGATCAGGACGCGGACGTGCGGCGAGCAGCAATCGACGAGCTTCAAGGGCGAGCCGACCTTCCGGAGGAGATACTGCAGGGCATCGCAGCAAGGCTCGAGGATCAGGACGTGGACGTGCGGCGAATAGCAATCGACGAGCTTCAAGGGCGAGCCGACCTTCCGGAGGAGATACTGCAGGGCATCGCAGCAAGGCTCGAGGATCAGGACACGGGCGTGCGGCGAGCAGCAATTAAGGCGCTTCAAGGGCGAGCCGACCTTCCGGAGGAGGTGCTGCAGGGCATCGCAGCAAAGCTCGAGGATCAGGACGTGGACGTGCGGCGAATAGCAATCGACGAGCTTCAAGGGCGAGCCGACCTTCCGGAGGAGATGCTGCAGGGCATCGCAGCAAGGCTCGAGGATCAGGCCGCGTACGTGCGGCTGAGAGCAATCAACGCGCTTCAAGGGCGAGCCGACCTTTCGGAGGAGGTGCTGCAGGGCATCGCAGCAAGGCTCGAGGATCAGGACACGGGCGTGCGGCGAGCAGCAATCGAGGTGCTTCAAGGGCGAGCCGACCTTCCGGAGGAGGTGCTGCAGGGCATCGCAGCAAGGCTCGAGGATCAGGACACGGGCGTGCGGCGAGCAGCAATTAAGGCGCTTCAAGGGCGAGCCGACCTTCCGGAGGAGGTGCTGCAGGGCATCGCAGCAAGGCTCGAGGATCAGGCCGCGTACGTGCGGCTGAGAGCAATCAACGCGCTTCAAGGGCGAGCCGACCTTCCGGAGGAGGTGCTGCAGGGCATCGCAGCAAGGCTCGAGGATCAGGCCGCGTACGTGCGGCTGAGAGCAATCAACGCGCTTCTAAATCAAGCAGAGTTATCGTTAAACGTCCTCAGCCCATATGTCAAATCCTTTTGCAAGGCTTTACTACGGAAGAGCTTCGAGAAGCATCTATACTGGCACGCTTCGGACCGTGGTTTTATAGGGGTTAATCTTACACATATTTCTTTAAGTGGTAGTCAACATGAAGGGAAGGAAGCGGTGAAGCTACTGTTACAGAATGGCGCCACTACCGTAGCGATGGAGACAGACAGCCGCTACTACACTTAGTTGCTGAGAACTGGGAGGAAGCGATGGTGTAGCTATTACAGCCAAAGCCATAAAACAGCACATTCGTTTCCCACGTCATATCTGCACTTTTCTCCTTTTCTCCTTACTGTTTCTCTCATATTTTTTTAATTATAGCATGCCACTAAAAGGGTCTGGGGGAATGTGTAAATATATACTTATGTATGAATTCTAGCATCTTCTAGACATTCGCTCCTGATATAGTAATGACCTGCTGATCCCACTTTTATATTAAGTATGGCGTGCAGTATTTCAACCTATGTCGTCATCTAAGTATCATCATTAGAAAAGATTTACTACGCTACTAGTTAGAATGGGTCAGCAGAGCGGTAGCGAGGGAAGGGAGCTGATTCGAGTGCGTTATTGTGAGGGGACGGAGCAAACGACTAGCCGCTTTGGCTGTGCGTGCGTTTGGTGCAATTTAACCCTGAGACGAAGGAGTTGAAAATGAAGGCTAATGGAAATGCTATTCCAAAGACCCGACGACTAAAAGACAATTCAAGTAGAAATATAGTATAACAGAGTCACTGACAAAAGTCAAAAAACAAAAGCAAAGGAAAAGAAAAAAAATGTTCAGACAGCCCTGCCCGAAGTGATGAGAAAGCTGAAAATGGAGGAAAGACATACCCGATCGCCAGATCCCTCGCAGTGTGCATTTGCAGACACTGCAAGGCCATTCGCGCTCGGTCCTCGCCGTCGCCTTCTCGCCGGATAGCCAGCTGATCGTGTCGGGCTCTCACGACGACACGGTCCGCCTTTGGGACGCAGCCACGGGGGCCGAGCGGCTCCTCCCCCAATCGGGATCGAGGCGCTTCTCGGCCGTCCCTATTTCTTTTCCCGTCGTCATTGCAGCCACGCACGTGTTTTCTAAAGGTTTTCTTAAAAACAGCGGCTTTACTAGGCCCAGCCTAGTCCAGGACGAATAAAGCGGCAAGAAGTCACGTGAGAATTGTGTCCAGATTCCGGTGTTACAACAGAAAATGCAGTACAAGGACGGAAGACGAGCCACAACCAGCGTAGCCAATTAAGTAGTAATCAGTGATCGCTATCATGGACTTGGCGGAACCAGACATTGAGAAACTATCTTCAACTGAGTATCCCTTTCAGAAGATCTGAACCCTGGTTCGTCACAGTTCTACAGAGACATTGACGATACCCAGTCGTGAATGACATCTGTGGGCTGTAACGCTAGGGTGGGTGCGGGCTTTGTTTGGCATGGTTTTGGCTTTCAAAGCGACTTTTCTTGAACTATCCGATATCCCGTGGTCTTTTCACTCTTACTGGTTTCAGTAAGCTAGTTGCAGCTCGGTTTCTATTTTTCATTTTTAAACAAAAGACTGAGGAACGCCGATCCTAATGGTGATACGCAAATACAAGTTATTATTATAGTTGCAGAATCTGGCGTGCATTATGAAGCCACAACCTGCCCCTATAGGATACAAGACAGGTTATTGTTTCAAAATCGACAACCCACTCTGAGTGGTTCATTCCTGTGGTTTTGCCGTATCCTCTCCGTAAATTTGCTTCCGTAAGTAGATCCGAAGAGTAACCTCACTACTTGTATAGCTTCTTAGTGAGTGTATCTGGCTGAGGTTCGCTTGGCTATAGACAGTGAGGTCACCCACTCCTAGACTTTTCTGCCTTGTATAAGTGCAGTCGAGCTTGCAAACACAATGCTGCGGACAGGGAGGGTTACACTGGCACACAAAGGACCAAGAATGGCAATCTCTAAGCGGTTTTACCCCTTGGCATCTCTACCTGAGGCAACAAATGCTGTTTATAACAATGGTCTAGGGATGCAACACCAGTGAGGGGCTCAGGGGTAGTCACGAATAAGAGCGCCTCTCTATTATACGCGTGCAGTGTGATTCTAGTCTTCCAGCTTGTGATATGCAATTAATGCACCTTCCATCTGGTAATACCTACCCCATCGATACATCCTTTCAGGTGGCACAGAGGTCTTAACCCTAGGGATCGGGGCTCATTCTTGGTTCTATAGTAAGATGTGGAAGGCTCTCGTTTCGGAAGCCAATAATTAAACTATATCGATTAAGAGGGTGCAAGCAGTAGTGATCTTCTCTATTAGCCCCCATTGTCCTTATTTCGCCATTGTAAAGAATGATGGCTACGCTGGGTTTAAACTTCTGTGTCACCGTTTTCGCTACTTCATAAGAGCACATCTATGTTATTGCAGCTTGACTAATAGTGAAATGTTTATTTTTTATAACCGGTGATGGAGTACTACCTTGATGAAGTATAGTTTCCTCATTAGGGCCTGATCCTTTGTCTCTTGCTATAGCAGCGATGATCTGGTTATTTGCCTTGGGTATACTGAGTTGGTCAGCAACATGCTCCCCGTAGTCAGGCGATCTGACCACACCGATCTCTTCATCTGCCGTTGATAGCCGCTGCACTAGGTTTCCTTCCTCGTCTGGTGATGCGTTAGGGGAGATATATATCGTAACGGGGATGGTCGAGCGGAGTTAGGAAGTATGTCTATCTGGATTCTTAAGCGTGATCTTCAGGTCCAGTTTATGCCGAATCTTAATCCCCTTAGCGTCCACATCCTAAAGACAATTTTTCAGCTCCCTCGGCAAATGTAGGGACGTCTTTACGACCTAGCTTTCTCGATCTGTGCCGCTTATCCCGCTTTGCTAATGCTTATTTCTGCTTATAATAATGGTCCAGCGGTTAATTTCTTTTTCCTTCTTATATTCCTTACTATTATAACCTATCTACGTCGGTAGGATAATTATATAGACTTCTAGCAACTTGACCATGATATCGCTTAGTTTTAGTCCATTTAGTAACGGAATAACTCTCGTTTCCAGGGGTAATGAGCTTCCGAAGGTAATTGCTCTTCGTGGCCCTATAATTGAGTAGTCTACTTTCTTAAGCTAGATGTTTTTAACATTTATTATATATAATAAGCCTAGCGTCGAGACCTCAATCGTCTGTATAATCCGTAGGTGCTTATAGGTACGTAAGTCGGATACTAATTTTCGCCGCGTTACAGTCGCCTCTAGCTGGTATATAATGTTCGCTTTACATGTACCCTCGACACTTTCAGTTATATTACCCCCTAGCATTATTTGGAAGGTCATTCGTGGTTACCTGGTTAGAGCGTGCGCTCCCCCGCAAAGTATGCTTGGCTATCCGACGTGCTGTCTACCGCGCCAACACCAATAAACGGGTGCCACCGATATCCATAAAACTGAATGGTCTTGCCTATCGTACAGCTCCATGTGCCTGAAGACGCCTTTGCGTACGTCCAGCTAGCTAACAGAGTCAGCAGTCTTCTCAGCGTTGCGCTGGAGCGTATGCGCCATACCTATAGTGAAGCGTTCCTGTCAGCTTCAGTCGGATGTTGTCGACCTTGAGCGGTACTGAGAGGCAGAGGACGACGGTACCCTTCAAGAGCTGGCCTGACGCCTCGTGTTGGTTACCTCGAAAAACAACAGCATCATTCTCGAGTCTATAGCCTAGATCAGTTTCTATTCCCCAGAAGCAACGCATGCAGTGCAGTTCTTACCGTATCCGGAAGAGTGTGTAGGAATTTTTTCCAGTCAATAGAGCGAGGAGCATCTTTCATGTCGGAATAGTGAAAAAACAGTGGCTGATAGGGTACCTGCAGTAGCTTGTCAGACATAGAGCGTGGCGGTGTGTAAATTCGGTGTCGTTTGTATACGCCAGATATTGATACTGGCATATACCAATTGCCTTATAGAAATGTTGGACGTCTAAATTGGAGGTTGATATCTCCGAAAGGCTGAGCCATTTTGCCTTTGAAACTTCAGGCGTTTATGGACGCTCTGCGCTAAAGCCGGATGTAATTGGGCCGAGGAGTTATACTAGGGTTGTCATATGCGTGTATGCATGACAAAAGCGGCCGGTAGAGCCACTTTGCTCACTTCTCTAATGTTCTGACACGTGTGGTTTCAATAATGTAATGTCTTGGAGCGGAAACTCGGATATACGGATTCAAGGGAACTATGAACCACCAAGCGACTCGCACTACAGCACCCACCATACCAAGCCTTCTACCCAGAAAGCCAGCTGTCTATCAAGATTATCCTGATCGAGTCCTCTTGCCTGCATCAACCTTGCCTGCCGTACTAAAGAGACTGCCGATATAGCCAGTATGTCTAAGTTGGCTCACCTCATTATAGAAGCCAAAGCAGTGAGTGAAAAACTGGCCAGAACTCAACTGAGCCGTGATGCCGCTATGAAGGAGTTTCAGAGACAACTGGAGCTTGACAAAGCTTACCTCCGGCAGCACGATGACCATCTCGATAACCTCTCTGTAGCAAAGAACCTACCCCGGGCGTTAACCTTACCAACAGTCAGGTTGACTACGTTAAAGAATCTAGCCTGGGTCTTAATTATATCGTGGCTTCTTTGCGCACGTTCATCTTCAATTTCAATCCCTCCCGATGACAACTTCGTGGCACCCCCCAAAAAGACAGTTGAGGCTGTGCGTGATGCCTCCACGTTGGGTGGCAGCGCTGTCATCAAGGCCTCTGATACTCAGCCTCAGCCGCAACCTATAAAGTAAATAGCTGTCCCCCCGCTACAGCTCAGCCTCTGCTCCTGTCCGCTTCGTTAAGCCGCACCGTCATCACCCCATCCTGCCCCGCCAACAAGCCATGGACAAATTCAGAAACTAATCCTGGTGGGGACATACCGCGCTGCAGGAGCTGTTTCTGACTCTGACGAAGGCAGGGATTCCTTTCGTGGTCCTTACCTGGCAATTTTAGCCGGATGACAAATACTCTATGTATGCTTCTCCGTGATCGGCTGGCGGCTCAGTCTGCTCAGCCTGGGCTCAGTCGCTGCTCAGGTCAAGCGGCGGGCTGCTCAAGTACAAAATACGGAAATGGAATTTGGTGCGATTCATATTGGTCGCCGACTTATGGGGAAGTCATTGTCTAATATGATGGTGATAAGCAGAGTGCATAAACACCCTCAAGACTGACCCATCTCAAACTTTCAATCCCTAGAGGACCTAACTCAAGCCTCTTCATGACAGGCTTGAGCCGAGGTGTGGTGCCGGAAGAAAAGAGCAAAGGTCGGCAACATTTACAGCATTTTTCGACCATGGCCTGGCAAATCTTGCGCAACACGGACCAGCCAACTGGCGAACCAAAATCACAGGGGAGCTATGCAAAAGAGTGAGGTGGTTGTATTGCTCTTCCATGTGTGCATCTGCCAATCCACCCTCAAGGTACCGGTTACCATCCAAGAAAACAATTCGAGAAGACTCAGCTGAAAAAGGAGTGTCCCTAGACTACTAACCCTAAACCCGACAACCTGGAACCTTGCTTTTCACTGAACCGAACCTCCACTTCCTCCTAGCCCAAGTTGGACATCCGAAAGGGCTTGGCCTCTAGCGGACACAGGTGCAATCACACACGCTCCAGCCAAAGACGCAGCTTTGACGCCAGATGCGGGACTTGATGCTGGTGCAGGAGTAAGATCGCTGCGAAGCCTCACCGCGGCAGGCAGCATTGCAACGGTTGGCCCTGTTACGTGGTTAGCATTTTGGATCTGCCTGATACACCACTCGACAGAAAGGAGCACATACCAATCAGTCTTGCAGCCTCCAGTAGCCTGCCAGGTGATGTCTGCCTGTCTAGCATTCAGAGGTCCGGTAGACTCCTCAATGATTTCGACTTCGTTGGCTGGCGCCGCGGCACCCGAAACAGCAGCCACAAGGCCGGTCAGGAGCAGAATAAGAGCTTTGGATTGCATTTTGGTGGATGGATAAGATGTGTGTTCGTGAGCTCTTTGTTTGTGGTTCTTTGAATACTGAAGCTGATGATGATGAGAAAATAGCCATTCCAAGTCGAAGAGTCTCCTCTCTTTATACTTTTTTAGTGCCACAAGAACTTGTCACAAAGCAGTGCCTATGTTGCGACTGAACTGGACGATTACAACATAACAAGTCTCTTCTTGCTGATCACCAGCGCCTCCTATCTCATGATCTTCCAGCTATTCAAGACAGAAGAGTAAGACGGACCAACTCAAGTCACTGAGATCTTCACTATGAACTGGATGTGGAAAGTGTTTGAGGCCAAGACACCCACGATTCTACAGAGTACAGGCTGGGCTTTCTCCTATACACGATCTCATGAATTAGGGCAGCCAACCAGGCGCTCATTTCATCAAGGAACGGCTGAACTTTGAGTCGCCCGATCCCAGGCCTTACCATTTGGTTGAGCCTGGACGAGTAGAGATCAACATCACTTCATCCGGTCCAGTTACTGTGTGTCAGTATTCTACCATGTTCGGCCAATAGCTGTGTTTAGCCGTGTTACAATGTCTGGTAAGACACTATATCCAGGTGCAAGCGAGGTGGCGCAGTCTCGGCACTATGTCATTTATGATTTCCTTACGTCAACGTCCGAAAGTACTAAGAAACTGCGCTGACTTTTTGAAAGCTCAGACCTTTCAAAGATCCCTTCTGCAAGGAACGACACTGTTCGACCCAAGTCATCCCAGTTCTGTTAGGACGTTGAACTCACCGTCGACAACGATCCGTCCGTTTGCTTATTGTTGATCTGCGCCTAACCCGGTCTGATTATTCCCGGGGGCCTAGAAATCAGCTGGTGGCGATACCAAACATTGGTTAGAAGGGGGTCCCCCGCATCAAAACTTTACAGTACCAAGGCCGACCGCCAAGGACTGGTGTAGCATAGTATGCGACATAACACCCAGTCGACAGAGGAATAGGAACTGTGACAAAATATCGGTGCTTCAAAGATGTTCAATATGCCTCTCGGCTACCTTTCAAGGCCTCTCGACTACGTTTTGAGTCAACTCAACTATCTTTGATGATCTCTTAGTTGTCCTTGAAGGCCTCTCGACTATTCCGAAACGCCCAAACATCTTTTCAAGGCCTGCTCTCTACGAGGTGCATAGTGGTTCAAGTTTTGTCCTACACGCAGATGTCGAGTCCGACAAGGGGGAAGACTCATGATGATCCAATCAAAGACGACGGGAAGTTACATTGTCGATTTACAGGGGATGGTCTGCTGCCTGTGGTCCCCCAGCGTTCGTCTGGATGGGTGAAGCGATCATCCGAGAGCTTCGGAATTTGTGAGGCGCAAGGTGAAATCAAGGCCTTGACATGTTCTTTAGCAGCTTCTTCACTCTTAAACGTGCCGCTGAAGTGAACTCTTCACCTCAATCATCCACCTTTGATGGTCATAACCGCCTGCAATGAACTCACCAATGCTGAAAACACGACAACAACCACCAATATCGTCACCCTTCTATATCGGTCAAAACATCCTCAGTTGGCGAAGCTCCAGAGAATGACGAGTTCGAGAAGCTAGAACATGCATCGCAAGCGGGTACAACATTGCCATGGAGGTCCCGATACCTCACACTTGTTGTCATTCTGGCCTTTCTCGTTGTTTTTGTTCTGATCCTGAACATATCCCTTGTGTCAGATACTTGCGACATCGCACACATGTCTGTGGATCCAACCCCATGGACCGCTGAATGTGGTACCAAAAACGGCTGCAACATGGTAATCGCAAGATTCGCTTCAGCACAGTGTGAGGGTCTGGCGGGCGACGAAGGAAAGAAGGCCTTGGTCATGTTTGGCGATCTCACCTTTACCAGGGATGATAGCCTTCCAAAAAGCATCTCGGACTGCTGGGACAAGGGCGACATGATCCGTCCGTTCCAGTCCAAACTGCACAAGTCAACGCTATTCTTGTGTAGGCCACCTTATGACATCAAGAACATCAGTCTGGTGCGAAATGGAACCAAGATTATTGAGACCGCCGACCTGGAGGAACCAGAAGCGCAAAGAACTTTGAGTACGATCAAGCCTCTGGACCTCCTGTCGACTCTTCTGAAGAGCTTTGAGACAAACCATCTCGAGTTGGCCTACAGAATGCACGGACACGTGATAGAGGTTGGGGGTAGTAACATTAGCGTGGACAAGGTGATGGGGACCCTCCTACTATATCGGCATGGTCTCCATCAGAGCCAAAAAGCTCTCGAGTTATACGATGGTCATGTTATTAAGCGAGCGGCAGCAGAGTTCTATCGGCAATTTGGCGCCATGCTGGGCAAGTTATTGCTTCTGGAGCCCGCCTCGATAAGCTCTTTTTGGTCTCTCTCCATCAATGACGACCATCTGGTTATTCGGGCATGGGCTGCACATTGGATGACTGGCTTGACTGCGACCTGCATTGCGTTGTGCGCTGTGCTCATTTTTCTTCTCCCTAAAGGAAGAATACTGCCTTGCAACCCAACAAGTCTTGCCGGGATGGCAGCACTCGTCTCTCACAGTCAGGACTTGGTTGAGAGACTGAAGTTCTCCGCGGCAGCAAGGGACAAAGCACTTGAGCGTCGTCTCCACGACACATCGTTCAAGCCGGTGGTGATTGACGGTGCTGGATCAGGCTGTGAGAGGTTCGTCATTCCGGTGGGGCATCTTGGTGATCCGGATAAGATAGGGGAGGTGGCAGAGGCGATCAAGTATCAGTATGGGATTATCCAGGCGCAATACTTGGCGGTGCAGCTTGTTCCGGCTGGTGAGACAAACGTGACGCTGTCGGGGGGTGGATGGGGACGCAGTGGGTTGGGATGGGGGGGAACGGGAGAGGGTGCTGGGGAAGGATATGAGGTTTTGGTTGGGGTGGGGGGGTGTGGTTGATGGTGAGGTGGGGAGTCGTAAGAGGTTTGGGATTTTTGCTTGGGATGAGGGGACTGGGGATGTGTAGGAGGGGGATAGTGAGGTGGAGATGATGGGGGTAGGATTAAGGGACGGGATGGATGTTGATACTGAGTATAGGGGGGCGGGGGGGTATGTCAGTGTCAGGGAAAGTGATGCGAATGATATGGGGCGTGTTGGGGTTGATGGAAGGCCACGTTATGGACAATGAAATAGAGAATACAACCAAGGAAAGGCATTAAAAGATAGTCGGTGGGTTCTTACAGACAGGTAATAGACCTTGAAAGAATTTAAGGACCTTTGAAGATAGTAAATATGCCTCCGGAAGATTTAAAAGGACAGTTAATGAACCTAAAATGCATATTCCAGGGCGTAACGAAGAGATAAGAGAATGGCTGCGGGGCTTACAAATCCTTAATCTTATATTGTAGTCTCTTTTAAATACTTATGTTCTGTGATGTGAGGGGTTGGAGCAGGTGACCGAGGAGGAAGGAGCGGCGTCTCGGCGTGGGAAGGAAGGGGTGGAAGGCTTCAAGAGGGGTGGGAGAATGGTTTCATTGTTCTTTGTTCAGTCAACCACCGTACTCTCATACCCATATAGTCACACCCGACAATATCTTTAGGATCAGTCCGTATCGGTCTCGGAAGGTGAGAAAAAGGTGAGCGTAGTAAGCATCACCCTAAGCTAAAGTGGATCTAAGGACCGTTCGGCTATACTTACCGCAACCAAAACTAATTATAACTTCCGTTTTCTCCTTACGCATACCAGTAGCCCGTTATTAAGCCTACTAAAACTACCATTTATATTAAAATTGTAACTTTAAATATAGGTGTGACGAACCCCTATTGTCACAAACCAACCATATAGCAAGGCCAGGTGGAGACTGCAGCTAGCCACGCCTGCCAATCGGAGGAAGAAGACACGGCGGCAGGGCTGCAGGGTAGGACAAGGCTCACTGCTTGGCAAACGTGAGCCGGATCACCACGCTCACCAGGTGAGCGCGGTGAGTTCTAAGGGATTATCACGGGTCGCTGGTGAGCGAGAGTGATCCAGGTACGAAGGTACTTAGGGATTATGGTCTATATATACGGAGGAACTAGATAGCTTGTAGATAGTTCCGCAGTATGCAATCACAGCTTGTATTCACGGTATCTTGTGTTTACATTGAGACATCTTGTTGTGCACTGTTTAGTTGTACCGAACCAGGATTGTTCAGAAGTACCTTCAACCAGTATCCTCTTCAGAGGTTCTGGATAGGGGTTCGTCACAACGAGCTGGATGTTGCAGTGTGGATTTTAGGACTCCGACTCTAAGAGCTATTTCTGGAGTGCAGCTATTTGGTTTGGCAGGTATTATGATAAGGATCTTCTTCCTTTGTAGTCGGAAATAGCTTCTATATGTACGGGGCGCATCAGGGTGCAACATCATTCTCCTTCCTTTCGGTTTGAACCCAGTCTCAAAATCTCTTGGCCGGACTCTTGCTTTTCTTGCTGGAAACGGTGGTCAGTGATGTGTTCCTGATCCATACTGTATTCCTTGATGGTAAACTGTGACAACATGGTCACGCCTGCCAGACCGCACATGGTCGCCCAGATAACTTGGAAAGTACGGACAAGGGCGCCTCTCAACGCCATCGCCAACGGGGACCCCGAGGGCATGTTCTTCATCATGGATGCCAGCGTTACGGCTCCAATATTTGCAATGGCTGGTGGCAGCAGCGAGGCAATTTCTGGTTGCTGGAGTTCCACCTGCATGTGATTTTCTAGAATCGATCCACCGATGGCCACGCCGACCGCTTGTCCGAACGAGCGGAAGAAGAGAACCAGCGTTGCGGCCGTGGCCACGTCTGCGGGCGGGACCGAGGCTTGCAGCGCGAGCGTGATGGACGGGAATAGGATCCCCATGCCCAGCCCGGACACGGCAGTGAGGAAGATCCACGCCGGGATGCTGGTGTCGGCGCCCAAGAGTATCAGGAGCCCGCAGCCCAAGGTTGCTAGCACCCAACCGCTCCAGACAGCCCAGCGGTAGCGGCCGGTCTTGGACACGACCACGCCGACGAAGATGGCGCATGGAACTACCGTCGCGGTCTGGGCGAGGGCGGCGACGCCTGCAATCAGCGGGCTGTAGCCCAGGACGGCTTGGAAATACTCGGGCATGTAGTACACGAGAGAGTAAAGGATGAGCCCGTGAACGAAGCTGCCGGCGTATACCGCCGTTGTTGAGTAGTTCCGGAATATGTAGACGGGGATGAAGGGCGTGGACGTGCCGTAGCACTCGAACACAGCAACACCCGCCATGCCCGCAGCACCAAGACACAGGGGGACGAGCGTGTGCCAGCTGCTCCAGGGAAACTGCGAACCCCCCAGGGTCACCGATACAAGGAAAGCCGTGACGGAGGCGATGAAGAGGGTCGAGCCGAAGTAGTCCAGGTTCCGCAGCCTGGCCGTGGTGTCACCGCTCGGCCGGGTAAGCTTCAGGAAGAAGCCAATACCAAACAAGCCGAGTCCGACGACGGGAAGGTTGAGCCTGCCGAGTACAAAGGTGAGCATGTAGTCGAAGTACACAGGGCCATGTACGAACGCAGCTCACCAGAATATCCATCGCCACTGGCCTGCTTCAGCACAAGCACCACCAATAATGGGTCCGGTAGTGCTGCCCACGGCCCAGATGGAGCTGATCAAGGCATAAAGACGAGCGCGCTCCCTAAGAGGCGCTAGATCGGTCACCAACACGGTGGTGAGACCAAGCACTCCGCCGCCGCCGAGCCCCTGAACGGTCCGGCCGGCGATCATGACAGTAAAGTTTTGGGAGACGGCACAAACCACGGAGCCGGCGGCAAAGATGACCAACGCCAGCATCAGAACGGGACGGCGGCCAAAGACGTCGCTCAGGGATACCCAGAGGAGCAACACAACGGTGCAGGCGAGTAGGTAGGATGTCCCGGCCCAGAAGGCCTCGGTCTGTCTGTTGCCATCGCCGCCGATGGCCGCGGATATTGCCTGTCCATGTTGTGTCAGCCCGGTGTTCACATCGTTTCTACTTGTGGGGGAGAGGTCGGAACGCACCGGCAGGGCGACAGAGAGGGACGTGGCGTCCAAGGCTGCGGCGAGATTAGTCAGGGCTATGGCCCAGAAGGCAAGCCAGAAATGGAGCCCCGGCCCACGCCGAGTGTCGGCCCTGTCGAACTCATTCACGTTGGTGTCGACGCTGGCCATTTGGGAAGACTGCCACGCCGCGTGAGGTTAGGCAGAGGGTTCCAGAAAGGATCGGAGCGAGCCAGAGCAGGCGATGGTCTCTAGTACGCCTCACTGGGTATATTCACAGGAAAGCACGCTCGTCGGCAGCAGGATCCAAGGCAAGGGCAACGCGGAACTAGACTCCCGGTGGGTAAAATTGCCCTGCGTTACAGTTGGTTCAGTCGAAAAGCCACACCGGTGGGCCACTGCATCCACGCACGATAAGTCACCAGTCGAGCGGGCGTCATCGCAGTCCCGACTCGGCCTTATCAGCGACCCACGTTGGATCGGAAGTCCGATGTTGACACATGTTCGGAAGTCCGACCGCTTAGCGCTGACACCTTCCTGCCGACCTATGGACGGAAGCCGGGGCCGAATTCTGCCTGTCCACGGCAATTTGGCCGCCGGGCGGCTTCCGGCATCGCTGCGGATGTTGTCGTCCCTTACTTGGACTTCAAACCTGTTGGAAGGCCCAGACCATGCCGCATGCCCGAGCCCCTGGCATCGACACATTTGCCGTCTTGGTCTCTCGACTGTCATCAGAATCCTCTGCTCTTACCCAACAAGACCTTAGATGAACCGAAACGACATCGAGATGCCATACCCAATCTACTACTACGTTGCCATTCTTTGCATAGCTGCTCTCTTCACCCGCTCGCTCTATGCACGAATTAGTCTCTTCCAGCGCAAGCGGCGCTTCGCCCGCAAGCACGGCTGCGCGCCTGTGACGCGAGCGCGGGCGTGGGATCCCCTGCTTGGTCTCGACCATTTCGTCCGCCTAGGGAAGGCCGCCGCGCAGCGCCGGTACCTGGAATACTGGCGGAAGAACATGTTCGGGAGGTACGGCAACACGTTCGAGATCAACCTCATGGGCCAGCGCCTGCTCTTCACCAACGAGCCGCGCAACATCCAGGCGGTGCTGGTGACGCAGTTCCCTGACTTTGACATCGGCCAGCGGCGGCGCGACAACTCGGCCCAGCTGTTGGGCGTGGGCGTCTTCAACGCCGACGGTCCCACGTGGGAGCACGCTCGCGCTACCCTGCGTCCAAACCTCACGCGGGCTCAGGTGGCCGACTTGCAGCTCTTTGAGAAGCATGTCGGCGTATGGATGGCGGCCCTGCCCAAGGATGGCCAGGCGGTGGATATGCAGGAATGGGCTTTCCGATTTGTAAGCTGTTGATGGACAACCCACTCGAATTCATCTCGGCACGTCCTTTGCTAACATTGGCCACAGACTCTGGACGTGGGAACCGAATTCTTGCTCGGCACATCTTCCGGCGTACTTGATCCTCAAGCCACGGCTTTGGGCCGCCGCTTTGCCTGGGCCTTTAACCTCGGGGTGGACGGAGTGGCGCAGAAAATCCGCCTCGGAAGCCTGGCACCGCTCTACTACAATGCCGACTACGGAAAGGCCTGCAAGATGGTGCACGAATACGTCGACCCCATCGTGCTTGCAGCGATCGAAGCAACCCAGAAGACCGGGTCTGAACAACACAGCAACGTCGGAGACGAAAAGCGGTACACCTTCCTTGCCGCTCTCGCCAGCGAGGGTATCAGCCCGAAGAAGATACGTGACCATGTATTGAACATACGTAAGTAGCACTTACAGGGCATCTGCGTGTTTATTTGGAATTGTCCGACCTGACCAACCTCTCAGTCATTGCTGCGCGCGATACATCGGCCTGTCTTATGAGTGCCGCCTTCTTCGAGCTCGCAAGACAGCCCGCCATCCAAGCCAAGCTCCGAGCCGAGGTCGACAGACAGCTCGAAGGACGGCTCCCCCGCTACGACGACCTCAAAGACATGACCTACCTCAACTGGTTCATCAAGGAGGCCCTGCGCCTGTACCCCCCAATCCCCATGAACATCCGCGTAGCGAACAAGGACACGATCCTCCCCGTGGGCGGCGGTCCCGACGGCTCGGCGCCCATCTTCGTCGCCGCGGGCCAAGAGGTCGTGTACCAAATCTTCTCGACACACCGGCGGAGGGATCTTTGGGGCGAGGACGCCGACCAGTTCCGCCCGGAGCGGTGGGAGACGATCCGCCCGCACTTCCAGTACCTGCCCTTCAACGGGGGTCCCCGCATATGCCCTGGCCAGCAGTTTGCGCTGCTGGAAACGAGCTTTGTCCTCGTGCGGTTCCTGCAGGAGTACTCGCGGCTCGAGGCGCCCGCAACCTCGCAGCAGCCCTGGACCGAGAATTACACCTTGACCTGTTCGGTGGGACAGGGTTCGTGGGTGAAGCTGATGAAGAGGGGGGGTGAAAAGGGGTCAGAAGTCTCGGCTTAATGAGGTAATCTCGTAGCCAGCAGAAGTGTAGTTGATGCAGCTTAACAAGGCCAGCATTAGCTAGACTACTGCTTAGAACAGAATGGAGTGTATTAGGAGGGACATTTGCTGGCGGACCTCCATAACGAACGGCCATGCACGGTGATGATAATCGAAAGGGCTTAGATACATTCAATTATCTGTGATTATGCTCAAGTTACATTCGCAACTTTTATCTGCAGGGCCAAGTGCAGTGCAAAGAGATGGAGAGTCGCCCCAGGCTAAGTACTTGGGCCGGCAGGCCAAGCATCACCGACAACCGGTCAGTCCTTCAAGCCCCCTTGTCGTCTCCAAAGACTGCCACCGCGAGGAAAGCGGCAAGACACAGCGAGTGCAACACCAAATGCACAGCCGGCCCTCCCAACGCGGCGCCTTGTCCTTCGCTGTCGCCTTGTACCTTGTACTGTAGACGCGCGAGAGCACGATGGATGGGCCAGGCGTGATAAGTGCCTAGAGCCGCAGCGAGAAGTCTCGTGCCGCAAGAGGGTGGCTGGTGGTGGAAGATGGCGACCAGACAGACGAGGTTTGTTGAGAGGAGAAGCCCGCCGTACTGGCGCAAAATCAGCTTCGCAGCCGCGGAGCAGTCGGGCAGTTGTTGTTCCGGTCGGAAGATGAAGGACGCGGCTGCGGCTGTCTCGATGAGAAGATGGAAGACGAATGGAAGGGTTTGGGAGGCCATGGCGTCTGGGCAGGACGGGGGTTGGAAGGGTGGGACAGCAGTAATGAGGGTTGCCAGGACCGGATATTGAGGGTGCAGGCGAACCGGACATAAGAGACACAAGACAGTCTAGTCTCCCTTCACAGCTTTGACTCGCCATTTAGTTGCGGCAGAGACTCCCCCATCCAGCAGCCTTGGATGGCACGCCAATATTTGGTCGCGTCCTCGGTGACGAGTGCACAGTGGGGCGCCTCTCGGAAGAGCACAAGCCCAACCTCACATCCAGCTTCTCGCGCGAGCTGGGCATGGGATTGGACGTCAGCGGGTCCCACCATGCGGTCAGCACGGGAGAAGAGATAGAGCCGACGGGCGGCGGTGCCGAACAGGGTTGGCTTGTTCAGCTCACGCCGCATATCGTTGACTGAGGACATGAAGCCGGCCTTTTGCAGCGCCGTGATGGTGGCCACAGCCGCGAATATGGCAGCCGTGCCGAGAGCTCGGATGGGGGCCGAGCTGGTAGCGGGCAGTGACAAAATCGCCGCATTGAAGGCCTTGGCGAATGAAGTGTCGCCCGGGCAGCAGTCGAAGACAATCTGGCGCAGGTGGTCGCACAGAAGCGTGCCGGCCACCTCGGATATGGACAGGGCCAGTTGTATTGCCGTATTGCAGCCGCCGTGGGAAAACATGTGGAGCAGGGCCTGAGGAATGACAAGATTGGTGGTGCCGGACTCGGTAGTCCGAGTTGTCGTCGGCGGCGGCTGCAACGCCTTGATGATGGCGTCTCGGGCTGGCCGCAGCCGAGAACGGACGGCCGCAAACGAGCGAGCCGAGATATCGGCAAAGACTGTACGGACCAAGACAAGGGTCGCACCGGGAAATGCTTTCCGGTAGCCCTCGACGTATTTGGCGACCCGTGGCGTGGTCGCGCCCCCAAGCCACGTGCAGAGAATGATCAGGGACGGCGGCGGGCATCCGCTGGCGCTGCCACTACCACTGATCTTGTCGTGTGCCGCTGACGGGACACTGGGTTCAAACAGGAAAATGTTGTTGCCCAGAGGCACCAACGGAGTTGGAGGTGCTGGCAGTGGTCCCTCTGGGCTGCCGTCGTCGCCCTCCGTGTGCGGGAGTGTCATGGCTGTTGTGGCACGCCGGCTGGGATGGTTGACGGTTGATGGCTGATGGATGTGTAAGGGAATAATCGCGAGTCTATGAGTGTGTGTGCAGTGGATGTTTTTGTTTGTTGGAGCTATTCTTAATTACCGGCCTTGGATGATGTTGGTCCTCAACAAAAAGATCCGAACCCTAACCCTAGCCCCAACCCTAAGTCCTCAACAAAAAGACCTGAAGCATGTAGATCAGACTCTGCAGAATACCTTCCTCATTCGTTGACTCGGCGATCGATTGGTCACTGTCGTCAACCCGTGGCACGTTTGGCTTCGTTTTAAAGCAGAACGTGACGTATTGGGTGTCGAATGGTACTAAGAGTGACTACCTACTAATGGTGGTATTTCAAGTAACTACCAGGTAGCGATTTCATTTGGTAACCGGGCCAGATACAAGTGACACTGAGTAGTACGGACTGCAATCGTGTAAGTTGGTCTTGATTCCTCCTACACACAATTGCTGGGTAAATAACTAGTGCTCGCAAGTATGTCCATATCATTCAAACACCGTCGCCCGCCCGGCACCGTTTGAGTAAAGACATTTCAATAGCCAAGCCAGGGCCAAAAGATGTCGCAACAACATGATCCTTGCCGCGGCCCATCTTCCGCAGCAGGTCCAGCACTGCCAATACAGTTGGACTGGATGAGTTGCCCCGCGTCCTGTATATCTCCCGAGTAGCCCGCAGCTGTTCGCTTGTCAAATCCAGCATCTCCTGCGCCCCTTGGATGATGGCCTCTCCGCCCGGGTGCAGAGCCCAGTCGAAGTCGGCCACATCGAGACTCTTCAGCCTCGTCTTCTCCCGAAACCCCGGCAGCAGGTCCCTGAACATGGGCCCGATGGCCGTCTTGGTAAATGAGGGCACATCACGGGTCAATACAGTACGGAACCCGGTGCCTTCGGCGTAGAAGGCCATGTGCTGCATCGTGTCCGGGATAGTCGCGTTGTCCCACTCGAGCAGCTGGAATAGCGGCTCAGCCCGACCCGAGTCCCCGCCGCCGTCGTCGTCACCGGCGTCGTCCTGCGGTAACAGCAGCCCGGCGTCGTTGCAAAGCACAAACGCGGCGGCGCCATCGGCAAACAACACGCCCGCGATGCTCACGTCGGCCGGGTCTGCGCAAGCCGCGGCCTCGGCCAGGTCGTGCCGCACGTTGGGCGTGCACAGCTCACACGCGAAGGCCAGCACACGCGCCGGCTTGCCCCGGGACGCGGCGCCGCTGGCGACCTGGGCCGCCGCGCGCATGATGGCCAGCCCGCCGGCGCAGCCCACGCCGTGCAGCAGCATGCGATCGACCGTGTGCGGCAGGCCCAGGCGGCGCGCCACTAGAAGGTCGTAGCCCGGGTTGCCCTGGTTCGTGCAGGTCACGGCGATGGTGTGCGTGATGTCGCAGGGCCGGCCGCCCCATTCTTTCAGCGCCTTGCGGCATGCCTGCGCGGCGAGGTCGACGCCTGCCCGGCGGTAGAATTTGTCCAGATCAGCAAGGGTTGGGGCCTCCGGGCGGCTGGCGAAACCGGTTTGGTAGTCCCCGATGGAGGCGCGCGTGTCGATACCACTTGTTTTGTTGATCTGGAGGAGCTTTTTCAAACTATTGCCAACCACAGCATGTCAGCACGGCTCAGAAGCGACAGAGTCAAGCGGGGAATGGATTCGACCTGCACCACTTACCCTGGCTTCTCCACGTCAAAGAACCTCTTCGCAAACTCATCCAACTTCTCTGGCCCTAGGAGATATGGAGGATATTGGGAGGCAATCCCCGTGATCCAAAGTCCTGGCATTGGCGGCGTGGCATGAGTGCCGTTGGCCCCATTCGTTTCACTCTTTTCACCCATTTGAGGTGCCATCACTGCCATGCCGAGACTGTCTGTGGAGTGCGATGGAATCGACGAGGCGCGTTAGAGATGTTGATGTTGGTAGCTTGGGAGGCGTATCGTCTTTAGGGACAGTTATGAGTGTAAATACCTGCAGGTCATTAGCAGTATTAGGCAAGCATTTCGCAACTGAGTCTGCTGGCGTTGGACCACTAACAGAATGGCCGCTGTGATGCCCAGGAATCCCGTCCGTCCGGAGGAGCCAGCACACCATCACGCCCGGCAGACTGGCTGTTTCGGTGCTGAGTGGAACAGCCGAACAGGCAACAATCCGACAAAGTCGGTGCCGTATCGGTGATCCGACTTATCGGTCTGTTGGCTGCGGGTTGCGGTTTGCGGATTCCCGACGCGTGTCTGCGGCGTGCTGCGTCAGAACCATGAAGCGTCCTTTCGACGCCGATGGGCTTACCGAAGTCTACGGAGGATTGCCGGGTGCACCAAGATGAATATGCCACGTGCAAGCGTGACATCCGGCCTCGCTGGGTTCGGAAGCCGGATTAGGGGAACAGACCAAAGGAGACATCCCGAGACGACGGATGCCACTATAAGGCTATTGATATTAATGCCATGTCTGGTATGTAGACGGGAGACTGTAGGCTGCTGCTTACTTGACTCTTTTGTTTAGCGTTCCGTACCTTGCACATTCGTCGAAGCTTTGTAACTCTTGCCTTACTACTACACAGCCTAGCAGTTACTTAGCACTCGTCGCCATACCTTCGCTTCTCGGTGCTTTCTACAGGAGCCATGGCCGACCTGAGGTTTGAAGATCAACCCGTGTCTCAGGAAGGACGAAATGGCCGAACCAATGGCACTGGCATTGTGAATGGGGACCACCATCCGACGTCTGAAAGGACCACAAACGGAGACTCGGTGAACGGCCATCCCCATGGCAACGGCCTCTCGACTGGGAGTGGTCTCCCCAATGGCAGCAAAACCCAAACCCAACCGCCGGTCGAGCCTATCGCCATCTGTGGCATGGGCATGCGACTCCCAGGCGGCATCACCGATGCTGCAGGCTTCTGGGACATGCTCTACAACGGACGCAGCGGGCGGTGTGAGGTTCCAGAGGACCGATACAACGCCGAGGGCTGGTACGGCCCAGGCAAGATTGGGCACACAGCCAGCAAGTTCGGCTATTTCCTCGACAACGTCAACCTGGCCAACATGGACTCCTCGTTCTGGTCCATGACCAAGAAAGAAATCGAGGCCATGGACCCGCAGCAGCGACTGACGCTCGAAGTCGTCTACGAGTGCCTACAGAACGCTGGTCAGAAACCCGACCAGCTCCGAGGGAAGAAGGTCGGTGTGTACCTCGGCACTTTTGAAGGCGACTGGCTGGAACTCGACGGCCGCGATCCTCAGCACTACCACATGTACCGCTTGACGGGGTACGGCGACTACATGTCGGCGAATCGTATCCACTACGAGTTCGGCTTCATGGGCCCAAGGCAAGTTGTCACAATACAACTGCTTCGTTGGGGGTGAGCGAGGTGACTAATTCCTCTATAGTGTCACCATCAGGACAGCCTGCTCGTCGTCGCTGACGGCACTCCATGACGCCTGCCACGCCATTTTCTCCGGAGAGTGCGAGTCGGCCATCGTGGCATGCGCCAACGTCATCTGCTCGCCGCGGACGACCATCACCATGCAAGAGCAGGGCGTCATGTCTCCGAGTGCTCTCTGCAAGACATTTGATGCAGACGCCGACGGCTACGCCCGCGGCGAGGCCGTCTCGGCCATCTACGTCAAGAAGCTCAGCGACGCCATCCGAGATGGCGATCCGATTCGGTCCGTGGTCCGGTCGACTGCTGTCAATGCCGGCGGCAAATCCTCGACGCTCACGGCTCCGAACACGGCTGCTCATGAGGCTCTCATCCGGCGCGGCCACCAGCTGGCGGGCATTTCCGACTTTTCTAAGACAGCTATGATTGAGTGTCACGGAACCGGAACTGCTGTACGTGTATCCATGCGAGTGTGGTATTGGTGTGATATGATGCTTATTCCGCCGTTCAACATCTAGGTCGGGGACCCCATTGAGACACTCGCGGTGGCCAACATCTTTGGAGATTACGGAATATACATTGGATCGGTGAGTAAACCTCCGCATTTTGATAGCTTTGCCTGGCAGAATCTGATTGAGGCAGGTGAAAACAAACCTGGGGCATAGCGAGGGAGCCTCGGGTCTTTCGAGTCTGATCAAGATGACGTTGGCTCTGGAGAACGAGACGATTCCGCCCAATCTCAACTTCACCACGCCAAATCCCAAAAGTAAGACACCAGCGCCCCAACCGTCCAAACCGCTTCTTTCTAACCATGTATGTTGCAGTTCCGTTCAAGGAGTGCAAGCTCACAGTCCCGACTGAGCCCCGGCCCTGGCCCAAGGACCGAGACCATGTTGTTGGAGTCAACAGTTTCGGAATAGGGGGCTCTAACGCTCATGTAAGAAACAATGGATAAAATACACGCTGCAACTCAGACACTCACCTGTATCTTTATCCAATCAGGTCCTACTCTCGTCCGCTTCCTCGTTCGGAGCTGCAAATGCGACGGCACACAAAGGCGATGTCGAGGCCTTCGATGCCGACCCCGGCTTGCGCCTGCTTCTCTTCTCCGCCAAACACCCCAAAGCGCTCCAGTCGATGGTGTCACAGCATCAAGCCTACCACCTCTCTCACCCGTCACAGCTGCGCGACATGAGCTTCTCGCTGGCCCTAAAGCGCGACGCCCTGAGCTACCGGGCATTCTGCGTAACAGATGGACTGGACGACTGGACGCCAGTTGTCTCGCCCCGCCCGGCTTCTCGCGAGCCGTCGAAGCTCGTCTTCGTCTTTAGCGGGCAGGGGGCACAGTGGGCGCAGATGGGCATGGCGCTGATCAAGAATGTCCCCGAATTCAGACAGAGCCTCCGAGACATGGACAAGTTCTTGCAAACACTTCCCGACGGCCCGCAGTGGAGTTTGATTGGCAAGTCATGACTAAGTTGTACCCCGAGTCCCAAGTTCCCAAGTACTAACACGCTGCATAGACGAGATTCAGGCTCCCAAGAGCCGCAGCCGCATTTCCTCAGCTGAACTGTCACAGCCCTGCTGCACCGCTATCCAGATGGCGCTCGTGGACCTTTTGACGAGTTACAATGTCACGCCAGGCGCTGTGGTCGGCCACTCGAGCGGTGAGATTGCCGCGGCGTATGCCAGCGGCGCCATAACGGCGAACGAAGGTATCGCAATTGCGTACTACCGAGGCAAGGTCATGCTCTCGGTAGATTCGACAAAAAAGCCAGGCGGCATGGCTGCCGTGGGCCTCGGGCGCAAGGAGGTCGAGCCGTATCTCAGCAGCGGCGTCCTGATCGGCTGCGAGAACAGCCCTGAGAGCACAACCCTCACTGGAGATAAAGACGCGCTGGAAGGGGTCATGCTGAATATCAAAGAGGCGAACCCGGACATCTTGGTTCGGGCATTGCAGGTTGACCGGGCATATCATTCTCGTGAGTAATCCCTCGTTCCCCCCTCGCCTGGTTCTCTTTGTGCATACACCAGCACAAACCAGCCTCTCGGGGCACCTTCACGTTTGCTAATAACATGAACAGATCACATGCGACAAGTGGCACCGCTCTACGAAGAGCTCCTCAGCAACATGATCAACGCAAACGACCCCAACATACCGTTTTACTCCACTGTCTCCTGTAAAACAGTAAAGAGCGGCAGGGAGCTGGGGCCAGAGTATTGGGTCAACAACTTGGTCTCGCCCGTTCGTTTCTCCACCGCCGTCAGCCAGATCCTGCGGGAGCCGGGGCGCAAGACGTTTGTCGAGATCGGGCCGCACTCGGCGCTGGCCGGTCCACTGCGCCAGATACTCAAATCCGCCAAGTCCACCGACGAGTACATGAACATCCTGACACGCGGGAATAACTCCCACTCTGACCTGCTCCATGCAGTGGGCCACCTGTGGTCCGCCAACCAGCCCCTACATCTCGCCCCGGTTGTCGGTGAAGGTAAATTCCTCGTGGACCTGCCGCTGTACCCCTGGCACTACGAAGAGCCCATGTGGTACGAGAGCCGCCTGGCACGAGAGTGGCGCCACCGGAAGTTCCCGCACCATGATGTGCTGGGCTCCCGGATTCTGGAAAGCACCGATTCCAGCCCGGCCTGGCGGAACCTGCTGCGGCTTGAGTCGGTGCCCTGGATCAAGGAGCATGAAGTCGCTGGCGACATCGTCTTCCCCGGCGTGGGCTACGTCACCATGGCGGGCGAGGCTGTGCGGCAGCTCACGGGCGCCACCGACTTTACGGTTCGGCGTGTGCACATCAAGGCGGCCATGATCCTAGTCCAAGAAACCGCGACGGAAACCATCACACAGCTCCAGCGTGTGCCGCTGACCAACTCGGCCGACTCGGTCTGGTACAACTTTACCATCTCCAGCTACCAGAACGGCAGCTGGCTGAAGCACGCCTTCGGGCAGGTCTCGGCAGGCTCCGAGTTCCCGCACGAGGCCCCCGATCTGGCGCCGTTGCCGCGCGTGGTTTCGCGAAAGGCCTGGTACCGTAAACTGCGTTCGCTTGGGCTCGAGTACGGGCCCCGGTTCCTCGGACTTAGGGACATCACTGCCAACCCCGTAGAGCCAACGCTGCTGACGCACATGACAAACGATATCCGCGACGGAGAGTCGCTCTACGCCATCCACCCCGTGACGCTGGATCTTGTGCCACAAGCAATAGCCCCGGCATTGACCAACGGCCTGACCAGGCGGTTTGACCGGGTGGCCATCCCCACGTACATTGACGAGATGTACATTGGACCCCCGGCAACACCAGACATGGCCATGGAGGTCCGCATCACCGAGGAGCGCAAGAATGCGCGCATTGCAGATGCTGTTGCCGTGTCAGACGGCAAGGTAGTCATCTCGGTGAAGGGCATGCAGGTGTCCGTCATCAGCGACGCCGAGGGCGACGGCGGACAAGACCCCCACGCGGCTGTCGAGCTCGA